CCTCCAGCTGCCTTCTGCATGGTGGTGTCCCCACATCTGGCCAGCAGCTGCCTGCAGCGACCCCCACATCTGGGCAGTAGCTGCCCATGGTGCAGGGCGGACCCCGCAAACTGCAGCTGCTGCTTATGCCTTAAAAGCCAGGAGGGTGATGCCCGGCAGGTGCTGGTGGGAGCTCTTCCCGCTATCCGGCAGGCCAGGAGACCCCCTGCTTGTCCCCGAGGAAGGTCAGTGCGAGAAGGACGGGTGCTCTCTGCTGTGCCACGCTGGGCAGCAGCAACGCCTTTATTTAGCGTTAAAGGGAGGGGCACCACCAACAACAGAAAAAGCAAACGTACACAGGAACAGGGACCGAAGACGGTTCGGTGGCTTGCGGTGACACCAGCAGCTGGGCCACCCTCCTCTGGTGGTACGCCAGATTAACGAAGGAGTGGTCCCACACAGAGCGCCGGGAGTCGTTCCTGGAGGATGCACGACCACGCCAAAAATAACGCCGCGATCAGAGGTGTGCAAACACTGGCCAACGGCGAGCCCCGGTCCCTGGTCGGACACATGCTCCTGAGAACCTGCTCCTGGAGAGGTATTTAGCTCAAGGAGCGGCACGGACACCGCGACACCCAGCCTTGGGAAGGAGACACTGCGTATTTCCTGCAGTGTAACCAAAAGAAACGAGGTGCTCCGTAAGGATAAAGAGTGACCACTGAAATAACTGGTGCGGGCTGGTGCGGAGGGCACGTGTGCGTTAACGACGAGTGCGCTCGTCCCGGCGTGGCAGGGCGGCTCGGACGCATCCCCCGTCCGGTGCCGGGCTGCGGAAGGCACAGTGCCGCTGGCTGTCAGCGTCCGGCACCTGTTGGGGGCATGGAAAGGGAGGGTCCCGCAGCTGCTTGAAGGGGAGCCACAAACCCGACGGGGAGGAGTGTTCAGTCTGGGCTAAGCATCCCGGAGGTAAAGTCGTCTGGTGGCGAGCTTCCCGCTCGTGAAGGATGATTTTTGGGGGCGATTGCAGT